AAATATTGGTTTATTCCTCACCTTTTTGATGGTTTTTAAAAGATTTAGTCTTTAGATTTATGTGTAAAGTTATAATGAATACCTACTATATAATGAGGCATTTAATACTGAACAGTTTATTACAATTTAAACATTTATTTTTATTTAAAAGCAACAATTTTTTTAAATTAGTTCAACTTCAAATTCAGCGAGTAGAAAATGTATGATACTTCATTCGCTTAAATCGATTTTTTTGTTTTACTAAAATTTTGTATTTAATTGTCCACTTCTGTTAAACTTTGGAGAAATTGGAATGAATAATAATAAGTTTTTACAAAAAAATGTTTATATTAAAAATTAATTACTGACTAAAATAAAAGTTTCTCACATTTTTGTAATAAAAATTAAACACTTCATATTAGCAAAAAAATGTAGAGCCTAGCTAAATTAATAAATAAAACTTAATTTTAAACAGCAAAATTTTTTAAATTATTTAAATCGATTTTTTTTATTTAAATTTTGCATACAGGCTGTCCCCAGCGAGTTGAAAAAGTCCATTGGTGACCTTTAAATGGTAATACTAAAAAAATTATATAGGACATTAATAAGTACTAATCTAGTCCAACGCCTAAAATTATTTTCAACTATACAGCGTGTCTCAAAAATAAGTTACAAAACAATCTTCTGTTTTTTTTAAATGGAACACCATATGTTTCTTAGCGTTTTTGAATTTGTAGATTTTTATGACAATGTTTTTTTATTAGTCGATTTTGTTTAATTTTAATTTAATTTTTTTTTTTAATTTAATTTTGTTTTTTGACAAAAACATGTACTTTTAAAAAATTTATTACACAAAAACTAAGACATCTAGAAATATTTTTTTACTACCGCAAAGAAAAAGGTACAAGCTATAAGGTTGTAACATTTTTTTAGTGTGTTGCATTTGCAAAGATAAAAAGGCGTTTGTTAAAAGTTCAATAACTTAAAAAACATTAAATGAAACACGTTATTTATTGTTTTTGCATTTAAAAGATAATTAAATTTCTTTTCTAAAATTATTTACTTTTAGGTGTTTATAATCAATAACTAAAGAGATATTTAACGTTAAATATTTAAAAAAATACTAATGTTTCAGTAGCCGAAAAGTGCACTATTACACAAGAGATAGAATAAATATCACTTAATCACATTTGTGTTAAACTGAATCCATTATTCTTTATTTTTTACAATAAAATAATTCGAATTTCAGTATTTATAACGACTTTTACAATCTCTGGATAAATCAATGGATAAGGGATCCGTGGTGGAATTACTATGGTTGCCATAGTATCAACAATGCCCAGATCTTGATAGGCATTATTGCTACAATTAATATTGAATGTGAAATATCTTTTTATTTATCAATTCTAGACAGTTTACTTTTTTAGATAGACAATTTATCAAGCTATCAGATGCAAAAATAAAAAATTGGGTGTTTCATTTACATTTTTTAAGTTATTTAACTTTTAACAAACTTTTTATTTTATTAAGCTTTACAAATGCAAAACACTACAAAATTGCTACAGCTTTAAGTTCTATACTTTCTTCTTTGCAGAAGTACGAAAAACATTGTTCTAGCTGTCTTAGTTTTTGTGTAATAACTTTTTAAAACGTGCACATTTTCATCAAAACAAACGTCTCATTACTAAAAATAAGCCAAATCGACAAATTAAAGTTTAGCGTAAAAACATTGTTTTAAACGGCTACATCCAAAAATGCCAAGAAACATATGGTGTTTCATTAAAAAAACACAGGTTTGTCTCGTAACTTATGTTTGGGACATGCTGTATGGTTGAAAATAATTTTAGATGATGCACTAGATTAGTATCTATCAATGTCCTGTACAATGTTCTTTAAATTTTACCATTTAAAGGTCATTAATAGACTTTTTCAACTCGCTGGGACACACTGTATAATTGGCCACTTATGTTAAACTTGTTAACAAGTTATTGAACAAAAAAAATATGTGTATATTAAAAATTAACAACTGCCTATGTTATATTAAGATTAAATAAAAACGTTTCATATTAGCAAAGGTCTTTCTAGGATTGTTTTAGAAATAACAAGGTGAAAACTATTTCAAAATTTCTAAAATTTAATGCTGTGATAGCATAAATGTTATTTTGCAAAATCATAATTATTCTTCAGTAATTTTTCCAAAAGCAAGTGCTAAATCGGTATCTGACACAAAAAATGTGAAAAAAGACATACAGTCATTACCTAACAGCCAGGGTGCGACACATTCATTCTCTTTGGCGCTTTTTAGAATAGTTTCAGGTAAAGGTAGCGAATGTCGAACCATGGCACCGTACAATCCATATTCGGCCATGATGGTACTCCTCCCCCAACACTTTTCGGTTTTCCTCCATTTCGCCCTCCTGTTTTGAAACCACACCTGAAAAACAACAGAAATATATGGTCGGATTTAATCGTAATATAATTTCGGTAACGGAGACAAACAATGAATATCGACAGGAAATGGGAGAAATCAAATATCCTGATAGGATCCCGACTAATCCCACATTGATTCCCTCGCAATGCGGCTGTAATGAGCTGTTAGCGATCGAATCAATCACTTGAGGAGGATTCCTCGGTGAATAATATTCGGACCTCGGCTTTTTCGAGCAAATTAATTTAATGGCGAATGGAAGGAAAGGTTAAGAATAACGTCGTTGACTAATTTGGGGCTGTCAAAGTCGGTCGTAATGAAGTAAATTATCAATTATAACATCCAAGTTTGAAGAGAAAAATGTAAACGAATTATCAAGTTAAATATAGGTGTGCTAAAACGGCAGTCTGCACGAGTTGGGCGACGAACGCTTCTATACAACAAGTTAATTTCTAATTTAATTTGTTAATTAATTCTGTAACGTAGCACGGCGGGGGCTAATCGGTTTCATTGTGTTCGAAATTACACATTTTCGACTCACTCGATATATCTCTACTCCTGTTTAGATTCGCCCACTCCCTTTTACCCTCTGTTATTGACATTTATTTCATTGTACTGGGATTTTGTTGTCTGTCACTAATTATAATTCCATTCACGTTTTATTTTCGATTAATTATTTCGTGCATTTGCGCGAGAATTAAATAATTTGGTCGGAAACTTTGTTTTGACTCTCTTCCATACCGGTAATTTCATACACGGTTTGCCATTATTGTTATCGGAAAATTCGACGTTGACTAAAAGCTACAATAAAATTATTTTCAGTTTGCAACAATGTGTCGGTGCACTCGAGTAATCATAACTTCGAAAGAGACAGGTTTGAAAAATTATTTGCGCACTCGAATGCTTTTCCTGCTTTTATTGTCTTATTGATTTGGAAACTTTTATCGAATTTAAGTTTGACTAAATGTGTTAATAAAAAGGTACTTGGTTTCGAGAGCCTTGAACAGTGTGTGGTGGCTCAAGGAAAAAGCCATTAATTAGAATGCTTTTGTTGCTACATACATGGTAGGGTTTAATAAGCGAGACTTTTTGTTATAATAATATTCATTGTCAAAATATTGACCAAAATATGTACAGAAAAAATAGGAAAATATTTGAAATAAGAAAAATGCATCGAAGTAATGAAGCAATTTATACAAAAGTGGAATATTTTCTAATTTTTAATAAAAGCAA